CCCCCCCCCCCCCCCCCCTTTTTTTTTTTTTGCATTCGGGTTTGGGGTCACCTCGGCGGCTCGGGGCTGCCCCGAGAAGAGGGAGGAGGCGCGCGAACATTTCTTTCTGGAAAGGAAAAAGAGAGAGAAAGAAAGGATGGGAACTGCAGGGCGCTGATTCTTCTCTTTCCTTCTCGCCCCCCCTCTCTCCTCCCCCCCCCCCCGGGCTGGCGGGGAGTGGGGGGAGTTGAAATTTTGCTTCTCCGCCGCTCCTCCCTCTCCTCCTCTTCCTCCTCCCTCTCTCCTCCTCCCACCCACCCCCCGCTTTTCCTAGCTGTCAAGCGGCGGCTCTTGCGCTCCAGCCTTCGCAGCAGCTGCAGCCTCCGGAAAGGGCTGGAGAGAGAGAGAGAGAGAGGGAGCAGGCGGGCCGGTTCGCGTTTGGAGACGAGGCGAGCCGGAGGCGAGGACCTCCCAACCGGGCCTCAGCAGCTTCTCCGGGTAGTGGCGGTTCTCCTTTCGTGCCGGCGGTGGTGAGGGAGCAAGCCAAGCGGCCGGCGGATGGGCTTTGCGGCTCCCCTCTTTGGCTTGTGGCAAGGAAGGCTCCGGCAACAAACCGGGCTGGCTAGTTCTGGAGGAGCCCCCGGTACCGAATGCCCAACTGCTTCTCCGGGAGACGGGGCGCTTTGGGGGGTGCCACGTCGGGGAAGGGGCGCAGAAGTGCCGCAGCTGCTTTGACCTCCCGCCGACCCCCTTCCTCCGGGAATTAAAGCCCCCCACCCCCCACCCCACCCTGGGGCGCTCCGAGGACCTTTTTCTACTTTGGGGGGCTTGTTCTTGAGCCCCCCACCTCCTCCTCCTCCCCTCACCCCCCTCCCCCCCGGACCAAAGGCGATCGATGCTGCGTTGGCCAGCTTGGAAGCGGCGGCGTCCCATTTGGAAAGGCTCGCCTAGCTGATCTCTGGCTGGCTGGCTGGCTGGCTGGTTAGCTCCGGCGAGGGGGGGGTTGGCTCAGGAGCCCCCTTTTCTCTCCTTCCTTCTTTCGATTTTGGTTTTGATTTGATTTGATTTTTCGGCCCAAAGCCGGGGAGGAACCTTTTGGAGACAACGGCGGCCAAAGAAGGCCGGGAGGAACTACCCAGGCCTTTCTCGCGAGATGGACGGAACGTGGCAGTCGGAGTGGAAGACGACTGGATTGTGAATAAAAGAAGAGAGGAGGGAAGGGAAGGGAAGAAGAAGAAAAAAATAAAAAACAAGAACCAACGCTTGCCCCAAAGACACCACCCACCCACCCACCCCCTTCCCAGCCTCGCTTCTCCCGCTCTCCGAGCCCAGGCTGCTGAATTGAGCCGCCCACCTCGCCGGTCGCTTTTCCAGCTTGCCTTGGGGAGGAACCCCCTTCCCTCAATTCTCCCGGAGCCATGAAGCTAATCCTGGTGCGCAAATTCCGCGTTCTCATCCTGCTGGTTTTCCTAGTGGCGTGCACTCTGCACATCCTCATCGACCTCTTGCCCAAGCTGGAGAAGCGAGCCTCGGGGGCCGAAGCTGGAGCGGCGGATGCCAAGCCGGGCTGCTCTTGTTCGCACGCCGCCGCCGCCGCCGCTGTAGCCCAGCCGGGGGAAGAGCGGCGCGGCTGGCCCAAGGAACCTCCGCCGCCGCCGTCTTCCTTGGAGCCGGAGCCTCCTCCGGCGGCGGCGGCGGCGGCGGCGGCTGGAGCGCAAGAGGAGCCGTCCCGATCCAAACCCGGCGCCTCGGAGGCGGCCGCGGCAGCCGCGGGCTGGCCTAGCAAGCACACGCTGCGGCTCTTGCAGGATTTCAGCAGCGAGCCCAGCTCCAACCTCAGCTCGCGCTCCGGAGAGAAAGGGCCGAGCCACGCCAACGCCGAGCCGGGAGGAGGAGGAGGAGAGGCGGCGCCGCGGCGAACCTTCAGCACCGCGGCGCTCCACGCGAAGGGGAAAACGAGAGGAGCCGGCCGGTTGCAGAACGAGCCCCACTCGCCTCCTTTGCTGCCGGTTTACCGGGAGGAGGAGGAGGAAGAAGCGGCGGGGGCGGCGGGGGCGGCGGGGCCCGCGGGCACCGGCTCCCGCCTGGCCTCGCTCTTCGCCCACCCGCTCTACCAGCTGGCCTCGCCGCCGCTGGACGAGGCCGACCTCTTGTTCAACGTCAACAGCGACATCCGATTTAACCCCAAGGCGGTGGAGAATCCCGAGTGGTGAGTGAGTGAGTGAGTGGGGGGCAAAGATAAGGTTGGGGAAAGGGAAGGACGAGGGAGGTGGGGGTTAGCATTGCAAAGACGGGCATGGCACGCCCTACTTGGCATCCGGGCCGTGAGCTCGGCTTCACACGACCGGCTCAACCTCGATGGGGGTTTTGTAGGGCTTGCATAAGCCCAGAGTAGAGAATCCAGGGGTTGCTGGGCGGTGGGAGAGCACACTTGAGGGTTCTTCATCATCCCCAAGTTGTTGTGTTGTTGTCCTTCAGGTGTGGTCTGGGGAATGCAAGCTGTTGGGAGTCGCCCACCGAGGTTTGAAGGCTCCCAGATGATGAGCCGGTTGGCCATGCTGGACTTTAATGTGATGAGCACCTAGAAAATTGTGGCTTGTCCACCAAGATGGATGCTGTTGGGTGTGTGAAGCCAAGACATGTGATTGATCAGCCCAAGTTTATGTATCTCAACCCAAATGAGTTGAGATATCCAATCCAATCTCAACCCGAATGGGTTGAGATACCCCACCCAATCTCAACCCGAATGGGTTGAGATACCCAACCCAATCTCAGCCCAAATGGGTTGAGCTACCCAACCCAATCTCAACCCAAATGGGTTGAAATACCCAACCCAATCTCAACCCAAACGGGTTGAGATTTCCAATCCAATCTTTGCCTGGAGTCCATCCCTCACACCATGATGGTTCAGTCCCTTAGGGCTGAAGACATCTGTGGTCCTGCAGGAACCCAACACCGGCATATAGAGTGACCTAGTTATGGCCAGGTTGATGTCTTTGGGAGGTTCACAAGCCAACTGCAATTGATTCACTAAGCCGTGGTCTTTGGCCTTTGAGGGATGTCCAAGTCAGATCCTTAACCTTAAAGCCAAATTCAGCTCAAGGGAGGGGGGAAGCAGGAACCTTCCACCCACCCCCACCCAACTCTCCTTCCTCACATAATGGAGATGTTCCTTCTGAAGGACGAAGCGTGGCTGATGTTGAACGGCTGACATTGGTGCTGGGTGGACAGTCGGCCTTAAAAAAAAACAAAAAATACACCATGAATGCAGACTAATTGGCGTTGAGTGCTCTTCCATTAGCCCGGAAGGATTATCAAATTAAAATGTTCTTCTTTTTCTACCTCTCCTTTCCCCCCTTCCTCCTGTGGAAGAGACAGAACAGAGGCACGGATGAGCTGGGAACACCCCTCTCCTTAAAAAAACCAAAAAACAGCCCCTACTGAAAACCAGAGGAGAGAAGGCTAGGAAGAAGGCAAATCACTTCTCTCCAATTCCTGCTGCATTTAAGATGTTTTTTTAAAAAATAGCAGAAGCTCTGCCTGGATCGATCGTCCTATCCCACCCCCATCCCACCTTATAAAACCAGGGGGGTGGGTTGCTTTATACAGGAAAATGGGCTCTCAGTCCTTGCTCCCCTTCCCTGAACGAGAAAGGATTGCTTCTTGTTGGCTGACACCCATTTCCCCGCAACCTTTGCAATAACAAAGGTTGTCAGAACGTTCTCTATCTGCTTTCAAGCCAATTGTCTCCTCACCTTAAGTTAAAAAAAAAACGCCTGCAAAATGTGCTTCGATTGAGACTCAGCTAACCCTGGGTGACTTTTGCTCCCGTTTTGCTTCTCTTTCTGGTTTTGCCTTTTTAAAAAAAAAAAAAAAAGTTGAATGAATTAAGCACCCCCTTGTCCAAAATTTAAACAGAAGGGTTTATTGTGACCGGTTAGCCTCCCCTCCATCAAAGACTGGGTTACTTTCTTGGTCTTGCACTGGTCTCCCAAAAATGGTGTTTGAAAACATAATCAGCTCTTTTTGATTGATATACAAGAGGAAGATCTCCATCCCTTCCCCCTCCCTCCCTCCCTCCCTTTCTCTCCCTCTCTTTCTCTCTCCCTTTCCCATTACCTCTCTCGCGCTCTCTTTCTCGCTCTCTCTTCCTCTCAGTGCCTTCCAGATTGCAAACCCCATCATCCTCAGCCAAGCTGTCCAGGGTATACAGACATGATAGCCTTGGTCATTGAAGAAAGCGCCACGTTAGGAAGGCAAGGAAATTTTGGTAATTGTCAAACAGGACATTACCCAAGAAAGAACCTGGAAAAGATTGTTAGAGAGATTGATTTTATTTTGAGGTAGCTGGAGAAGTGAATTCAACCAAAAGAAAGGAAAAAAAAGCTGCTGTGTTTTTGGTAGGTTAAAAGAATTGGACTGCAATCCACTGAACTCATTGGCTGACTTTGGGCTGGTTAGTCTTCCAAGCATCGTGGTAGAATTGTAGTGGAATAATATGAGAAGCAGGACAATGAATGAAATTGACAAATGAAATTGACGAATGAAATTGGCGAATGAAATTGACGAATGAAATCCTTGAATGGGGTGGGAAGTAAAAAAAGAAAGATGAAATCAGGGAAGAATAAGAAGGAATAGTTTGCCCCTCCCACCTCTGCAAAGATAGAGCTATTGTAGATAAGGCAAGACACTTAATTCCTAGAAGAGGTAGACAGATGGTGAGTCCTTTCTCATCTTAGTTTTTCTCTAAATCTTCCACCCCAAAAGCAGGAATAAAAACAATGTGATAAAGCATTTCTTTTTAGCCCATCCCAGGTTCTCTCTTACGATCCTTGTGGTTGTATAATCTCCACCCCACCGTTTCTAAAAGTACAAACATCTCATTAAATGACCATGGTTTTTATGACAGGATCTTGTTGACGTCAGCTTCCAAGATAAAATGGGAGAGAGAGAGAGAGAGAGAGAAACCATGTTATGACTTTTCTTATGTTCTCCCAAAACTTCCGTAAAAACACCAGCAACCCTGATCTGAAGGTATAGCCCATGAATTTGACTTCTTAAAAATATCTCATGAGCTTCTGAAGAGCTACATTTGACTTGGATTCACGCAACCTGCTGAGATACGTTGGTTTTTTGCCATGCTGTGTGAATCCAGCCTTTGTGACTTGTAAACAACACTTTTGGTGTTGTCTGAACTCAACCAGCTGTGGTTTATTCAAATGGGGCTGAACAATCTGTGATCCTATTAAAACCAGACCATGGCAGTTGTCTACGTAGGCCATAAGGCAGAAGTCCAAAAACCTTAGTTGAGCTTGGAAAGGAAATCGGGGTTGGATATTCTTAATTCCTGGATGGAATCACTAGGATCTCTCTAGCCTGTAAACTAGACTAGAAGATTGAAAATCATTTCTTAGTATTGGCAAAAAAAAATAAAAAAATCCTTGATATCTATCTTGGCCCCAAAGGCCCATTCATTCATTAAAATGGAGAATATTTTTGTCTTGGTTAAGCAGCCAAGCTGTTCTTTTTCAAGGCTGTTTTGTTTTTGTATTTTGTATTTTGTTCCAATGTCTGAAATGTTGACTTTGGAAAAGAGCGAAATAAATCTTATTGGAAAGAGAAAATGCCCTCTTTAAAAACTTTTCAACTAATCCAACTTCATGCTAAACATCTCAACCACCCCAGGTAGACTTCCAAAACCTGTGACCTCTTCCAGAGTTGAGTCCATCTTGAAATCTTGACACCAAGAGTGACTCGCATCTTTCCATTTATGGGTGGATGGATTTTCAGGTGTTTCGGGTTCAAAGGCACCTCCGATGTGATTGTCCATCCAAGGCTGCCCCCTTCCTTCGATAACATTAATAACAACAGGACTGTATAAGTCAATTTCTCCTTCTTGCTGGGGGCCAACCGTCTCTTATTATTTATGAATGGAAATGCATAGCTGGCCTTTTGAACGAGAGACTCCACAAAGCAGCCTACAAAACTTTATCTCAGCATTTAAAATATTTAAACGCTTTTCCTCCCCAACTACAGGGGAACCAAAAATAATAATTAAAAAGCCAAAGGAAGAATAGTCTCCTTGATCTCTGTCTTGGCCCAGAAGGTTTTTTCATTCATAAAAATGAAGAATATTTTTGTCTTGGTTAAGCAGCCAAGCGGTTCTTTTTCAGGGCTGTTTTGTTTTTTTGTATTTTGTTCCAATGTCCGAAATGTTGACTTTGGAAAACAGCGAAATAAATCTTATTGGAAAGAAAAAATGCCTTCTTTAAAAACTTTTCAACTAATCCAACTTCATGCTAGTTATCTTAACCACCCCAGGTGGACTTCGTCCCACTTTTGTAAACTTCAGAACCAGAGCTGAAATATATTTCTCTTGGTCTTGTCCTCTGAGCTTGGCCCCACTGACGTTGTTTGATTATAGGTCTCATGTTTTTCAGCTAGGATGGAAATGAAGTTGGTGGGTCAGGGACTCAAATATTCCACTTTATGAAAAGCTCTTTCAGAAAGCAGGCCAAAGATGCCTTCCTGCTTCCACAACTTTCTAAAAGGTCTCTAAAGGGAAGATGCATCTGCTTAAAAAAATAATTCATTGTCTCCAGAGTTCACAGGTATAGTACAGGTGGCCACCTACTGAAGACAGCTCTCTGATTTTAGCTGGTGGTACAAGAGAAGGAATTGTGTCAGGCATGGAAGTCATATTTTACTTAGAAGCTTCGAGGCTGCCGTGGTTTAGTGCCTGGGAATTTGGGAGGGGGGAATTCTGAGTGAGTAGTAGATTAGACTCAACAACATTCTTTCTCAGAGAGTCAAGGACATGTTGCCCTGCACCTGGAGGGGAGAGACTGAAGGGATGTCTCCAGTTGCGACTAAGATTTGATTGGGCCATGTGATGGACTGATGGGTATAGGGGATGGATTTTGAATTTTTCTTGGGGAAGAGAAAACCTGGAACTCTCTGATTCGGGTTTTCCCAGATGTGCCAATATGACCTCTTTAATAAGTTCTTACTTGGATGGACTTTGTCCAGTGGTGGGATTCAGCCAGTTTGCACCAGTTCTAGAAAACTGGTTGTTAACTTTCTGAGCAGTTTGGTGAACTGGTTGTTGGAAGAAATCATTAGGACAGAGAACCGGTTGTTAAATTATTTGAATCCCACCACTGACTTTGTCTCTGAGTGCTGAATGGAAATGGGGAGTTTCACTGGAAT